AATGAAAGGTTTCTTGATGTAAGTAGTGACATCGGGCCCCTTTAAATAACAACCAGAGAACTCAGAGAATAACACTTTTATTAGTCAATGGTGGGGGATGTGGTGTGAAAAGGGACATGACTCCACAATGTGGCTTCAGAAACAAACTGGCCTCCTCAAATAAAAACAGTATGACTATACCTCAGTGACAATGTGTTATAGGCTGAAGATAGACCCTCAAATTCATAGGTAGAAGTCCTAGCCCCTAGTACTTCAGAAGGCAACTGCATTTGGAGATAGAGCCTTAAAGGAGGTAATTAACATTAACTAAGGTCATGAGGGTGGGTCCTATTCCAACCTGACTGGGACCTTTATACAAAGAGATTAGGACACATGCACAGAGGGAGGGCCACGTGAAGGCACGGGGAGGAGACAGTGGAGCGTAGCAGAATGCCACCCTCAAAAATGCCTCTTTGGCATTAGGATTATTTTGAGCTGATCATTTAAAAAAAAAAAAACTGCACACAGGAGAAACTCCAGAAGCAGAGCAGAGGTTACACTTTTGCAAGGAAAAGCTACACTAGAAAGGGGGCCTGTACCAGGAAGAAAGCTATTACCAGAAATCACTTCTTTATCTGATAGATTTATCTACATGGCAGGGCAATCTCTGTTGGGCAAACATTTGCCCTTCCACCTCCCCCCACCCCTCTCTCCCGCTTGAAGCCTCAGATCTTAGCTCAGGATATTTTATATATATCTACATATCGATATCAATATAGATATTGATATAGATATAGATCAATACACACACACACACACACACACACATGCCCCAATCGTCTGGCTGCCTTTTAAGTCTTGCATCTTTGTGAGGTCACCAAACATAATTACAAATGTTTTTCTTCTATAAATCTGTGTTTTCTTACAGGGGGACCTCAGCCAAGAATTTGGGAGAGTTGAGGAAATATTATTTTTCCTCCCTTACAATGGCCACCTACAAGCCAAGGAGAGAGGTTCTGAAAAGAAACCAACCCTGCTGACAACTTGATCGTGGACTTCCAGGCTCCAGAGCTGTGAGGAACTGAATTTCTGTTGTGTGAGACACCCAGTCTGTGGCACTTTGTCATGGCCACTCGAGCAGACTCTTGCCCAATCCTATGTATTCTCTTTCTAGACACAGGAAACCTGTCCCCGTTTCCATGCATCAGAGTGAGTTCCATGTAACTGGCTGTGACCAAAGGACTGTAAATAAGAGAAATATGCTTCATTTCCGACTGAGGCATTTCAGAGGAGGTATTAATTTCCAGCCCCTCTCCTTCCCTGCCTTGGGACCATGGAAACTACTTGTTCTAGATAGTGCGTTTACGAGACGGCAGAGTTCCTGTCAGTCTGGCTCCTGATGTAATTGTGTGGAGCTGAGAATCCTGCTGACCTACTTTGGACACGTAATGTGAATGAGAAATAAACATTTTTTTAAGCCACTGAGGTTTCAGGGTTAACTTGTAACTGCAGCCTAGCCTAGCCTCATCTCACACACAAATCTACCTCAAAAATATCAGGGTACCAAAAAACACATATTTCAGAAGTTCATGTGCCAGTAGGTGAAAGCACATTAAATTTCTGTTTAGGTAAAAAAAAATCAAATATGAGAAGTTTCATTTGTTCAACCTCTGGTTGTACCTATTTCCACAAAATGCATTGGCAGCCCACAAGTCCTACCACCCCTGTTCACAGATGACACACCTGATACACAGATGATCCAGATGGTACCTTCAGATTCACTGATTTACCCACAGCCCAAAACGTGTTAGTGGGAGAACTGGAGCACAAACCATAAATTACGTTTCTTTTCGTGAAGGCAAGATGGCAGTGTCTCTTAAAGAGGACACAGCAATTCCACCCTAAAGAACTGACCCACCGGGACTATCTGAACAGGTGTACACACATATATAAATAAGAAGATTCACTATGCCAGCACTGTATATGTGATAGTGAAAATTTAGAAATATTCCAAATGCTCATTCATGGAGAATTGGTTAAATAAATTACGGTTCATCCATCTGAACTCACATCAACAGTGTTCAAGAGAAAGAGGTCCAGTCTCTTTGCTCACCTGGAAAGATAACTAAGTCTTATTGAAAAACTCAAGAAAAGATAAAATATAAAAAGAAAAGAAAATCACCACTCTTAAAAGACTTATTAACTTCTATGCACTGACACTTAGTAGGCACTTTTTGCCCACCTCTCCTCCTCCTTCTTGCATAATGCTTGGATCATTGTAAATAAACCCAAGTAGCTTGTCCAACACTACTGCCTACCAGCTGTGTGATCTCAGGCAAGGAGCTTCAGTTCTCTCACCTGGAAAACTGGAAAAATCACAGTACTTCCTTCAGAAGGTGCTAAGGGGGTTACATGAGACTACATACAAAAACAAAGTGTGCGGAAAGACTGCTGGCACACAGTGCTTCACAGACATCCACCATTAGGGTAGTGATGACGACGTTCATCTCCAGAACCTGAAGAAACGAGGATTTCTGTAGTTTGTGTTGTACTTACTTCTGCCTTTTAAAAAAATCTCTTTTAACAAATTATCTAGTAAGAAAACATAATAAATCATCCTGCTTATTTCCCTTCCTGAAATTAAATAAAAAGGCAATGCTTTTTAAAGGAGTGCTTACCTCAATAAACTCTAGCAATATTAGGCATTCCCATATTTAATGTAGATTCCAAAGATAATTTTATGACTTCATTACCAAACCGATAAGCTGCTTTTCAGAGAAGTTAATATTAACAGAGTCATTCCCAGGTGCCTGCACGGTATTTGTAGCACTCGGCCCTCTGGTACTGAGGGATCGGCTTGGGGCTTCTCTGCTCTTTTCTGGACTGGTTATGAGAGGGTCTTTCAAATGCATAGAAAGAATCTTTTATGATATCACACTCTAACTTAAACCAGACTTTTTTAAAAGGTCTCTTTTTTTAAGATTATATTTATTTAATCTTTAATTTTTAGAGAGAGGGGAAGGGAGGGAGAAAGAGAAGAGAGTAACATCAATGTGTGGTTGCTCTCACACCCCCAACTGGGGACCTGACCCACAACCCAGGCATGTGTCCTGACTGGGAACTGAACCAGCCACCCTGCACTCAATCCACTGAGCCACACCAGTCAGGGCTAAACCAGACTTTCTATCTGAGGTCCTTTGCAGTGCATTCTAAGTATTAACTAAACCAGCCAGGCTTATTTCCATAGACATTAAGCCTGAAAGATGTGGGTAGCTCTATAAACAGATTGGAATTAAAGTTCAATTCACCCGCCGTTCTGCTCCAGTATCTTTTCAGTCCATGGGTGCTGTGTGGAACCAGTACAATTTAGACTACAAAGAACTAGTGAGCATTTGTAGACTTTCTAAGCTTGGCAAATTACTGTCACAGTAGACCCCAGAATTAAGGGTTCTTTTTGAACCTTTTGTGGCAGCTGAGGCCCAGGCAGGTAGTGTGGCTTGCCCAAAGTTTCACAGCTGGTCAGTGGTATAATTAGGGCTGGAACTGGCTTCCCAATGCTGGCAAATTATCGTCCTTCCGTTTTTGCTTCTTGGAAAACCGAACTAGGTTAAAATAGCTCATTCAAGGTCTCCAGGGCAGTCAAGCAGAACTTTCAGTGCCAGCCCTCAGATTATAAAACCCTAGACGGAGAATCCTCTGCCCCTCACCTATCCCCCACAAGGCCTGTGTAAATGTTTTTCTTGATTGTCTCCCAACACGCAGTTTAGAGGAAGTCTCTCTACTGGGTTAGCACTACGTGTTTAACTTCAGGTTCCTACACCAGCTTGTGACTGTCAGAGCAGGCACGCCCCCCAGCGCCCTGACCTGGTAGCGGCCTACTAAGGCTGCAGGGGCAGATGGACACCCACTGCTGTAGTGCGGTGGTCTTGCAGGTCGCCCACAGCAACTCGTCGGTGACATTTTTCTGTGATTGGCAACATGGAGCCGGTAAACTGGTGTCAGATTGAAGCAGAAGTGGAATGGATGAGTGAGCATGGGTAGTCTAGAGGGTATACAGAGAAGCCTACTGAAAACCGAGGACCCCTAGCCAACAAGCCTTTGAAAAAGGCCGGTGCAATCCTCATCTCCCGCGACAATCCAGGGGATCACATCTACTTGATCCTGGTAACCAAGGGCACTTCAGCTGACACTGCCACACAGGAGAGTGCCCTCCCCCCCAAGTTCAGCGTGTCAGCCACCTGTGCAGCTCCCCCTTCGGACGAAACACCCCTCCCTGCCCCACAGACTGTTCTCCTTGGCACCTTTCTGTGACCCACAGCATGAGACCCTTCTTTGTACTCGTGTTCCATCTCCCCCACAAGCAGCGGGTAGTTTGAACCTCACGTTAGGTCTGTCTGCCCAACAAGCGCTGTCCCAGCAGCGGAGCGGGGTGAAAGCGAGTTCCCTCATCACTGAGTCGCCAGAGAGCGCTGAAGTGAGGGCAGTGAGGCTTCACGTGCCAGAACAGCCCCCTCCTCGTTCAGGTCTGGGGCTTAAAGAGGGGAGGCAGCTACGCAGCCACTGGAAGCACAGAGAGGAAAACAGAGGCACCACCGCGCAGAAAGCGTGGGAACTCCAGAGCAACAGGAGCCAGTGGAGCTGGCCCGACCTCGCAATAGCTGGGCTAACGCCCAGGAAAGCACTGCTGCTTTCTGTGCAGCGCCGTCCAGAAGCGAAGAGCGACTGGTAGTGGGCGATTATTTTATTTGTAATTTTCAGCCTGATGGTTACACCAGACACTCGAGGTGCTTCCCTCCCGGAAATGAAGAACGGAGTTGGGCACTGGGATACCCAGAGACTGGTGGAAACAAGAAAGAACCCCTTCTCAGCAGCGGGGGTGCCTGAAAGGGGGCCAAGGGACAACTCTAGGTTTGTGCCTGTGACCCCTGCGTGTACAACCCAACTCGGTCCCCATGCGCCCAGGTGCCCAGGTGGAACGGGGCGGCCCTTGGACGCACAGACCCCCCGTAAGGGGCGCTCACCTGGCGGGTGCTTGGCCAGCAGCGAGGATGGTCCATGCCGGCAGCAGGCGGCTTCTGGGCGCCCGGCTCAGAGGGCACAGGGCAGCTGGACCCGGCACCCCGCACCCTAGCCCTGGCAACCACGTGAAGGGTCTGTAGATCCGATCCAACGGACTCTGGCCGCGAGCCGGAGCCTCTTTGCGCCTTCAGTCCTGAGGCACGTCCGAGGCCGAAGGGTGCCTGGGTCCTAGCGCCCCTCCTGGGTGTGGAGACTGACTTTTAGCCTGATTAACACCACTCCCCCCCTCCCCCAGGGGCTCTGCTCCAGGCAGCGCCTCTCTCTCCCCTAGGGGACTGGGTGGGGGGCAAGCTTCCTTTTCTTCATGCCCACCCTCTTCCACTCTCCTTGCACCTACACCCCCAAGAAAACACTAAAGGATCAGATTTTCCTCGTTCCCCAGCTCAAATTTGTATACACAGTTATTTTAAAGAGATTCTAAAATCAGATACATTAGTCATAATTATATATAATATATAACAAAGATCATTCTTCCTCAAAGCAAAGGAGGACTTTTGTATTCAAATGAATAGCACTTCACTCTGTGTGTCCACAGATTAGTCTTCAGTCTTAACTGTGTGGACAATTTATCAACATGAGTCAAATGCGAATCACACCAAAGGTGCTGCTGCCCTTCCTGCCCCCTCTCAATCTGTTTAAGGAGCTGGAATCAAACAACTGAGCAGATGTGCAGTTTTCGGGCACTTTCAAAAAGTAATAAATTGTAGCTAATTAAATTCCTCAGCTGTAAATAAACCTGGCATCTTGCTCCTGGTTATTATCACACCCACCCCATACCTGGCTCCCATAGGGAGGAGACATTTCTAGTATAGACCTAGCAAGCATCGGCAAAGGCCTTTCCTTTCTCAGCTGCCCACAGGAGCTGAATCAGTCCAGCCAAAACTAAGATCAAAAACAGCAATCTTTTCCTGCTGACTTTCTCATCAGAGAGGCTGATGAGATCTCCTAATTGCAAGGGGGAAAAAAAACCCTCATTTTTATAAGTAAAACCTAGTCCATAGGATAAAGAAAGACATTCTTGTTTTGGCGTTAGTCATAATCCATAAAGACCTACAATACGGCATGGCAACAGTGTGAATTCAGCCTCTATAGACTTTTTTAAAGGCGCTCAGAGTCATAAGAAACTCTTCTCTGTGTGAACTCTAGAATGGCCCCAAATTATCCCCACCTCCCAGTGTTCATGCCTTTGTGGGATCCCCTCTCCTCATGTGTGTGTGGGGGGGGGGACTTATGACTTGCTACCCATAGAGTATGGCAAAAGTGATGGGGTACCACTTCAATGCTTATGCCACAGTCTTGCTAGGAGACTCTCTTCCTGGCTTTGATAAAGCAAGCAGCCATGCTGGGGAGGCCATGTGGAAAGGAACTAATGGTGTCACTGGCCAAGAGCCAGTTAGAAACGGAGGCCCTTAGTCCAACAAACTGAAAGGAAATATGTCCTGCCAACAACTAGGAGAGTCTGAGAGTGACCCCTTCCCTAGTCGAGACCTGAGATGAGACTGCAGCCCTAGCTGACCCAGAGGACCTGATACAGCCATGCCCAGACTTCCGACCCACAGAAAGTGAGATAATATGTGTGTGTTGTTTAAGCCACAAAACTTGTGGTAATTTATACACAACAGTAAAATGAATACCTTTCCTCCTACCACAGATAGGAAAGTCAGGCAAAAAGGAATTAAGTAGAAGGGATAAGGTCATTTAAATTAGCAGCATAATTCATCCTTATTTCACAGTCACAGCCTGTTAGACCCTGTAAAAACAAGGAAAAGCAGAACAACAACGGCATCAGAAAGTGAAAGGTCATGTTCAGGTTGAGATTTGGTGGTAGGGTATAACACAATTGAACAACTTTCAAAAAATCTGAGGAAAAATTAGCCAGCAGGGAACATGACCGTTTGAAAAACTCAAGGGTAAATTGACCCAAGCAAAGAACACAAATATTATTAGAAAGAAAAGTAAATAAAATGAAAATAAAACAAGAAAAAAGAATAACAAAGAGACGATGGGGAAAGGTAAAGGCACCAAATCCTCTGAATCCCTTTTCTAATTATCTGTGAAAGAAAAACAAAAGGCCATTATTCGCTCCTGTAAGTGTGGGGATTTTCCAGAAGAGCCACTCAGGAAGGACTAGGAGGCTGTCTGTGCACAGTACATGCCTGTGCATCCAGCAGGTTGTCTACTGTTCCCAAGATATTGCATAAAAACAAACAGTGTCTCAAACTATGAGCCAGAGTTCTGAGAATTTGCATAGATTTGTTAGATTTTAAGTGTCTCTGGATGCCTAATATTTAAGAGTTCTCCACTCTATCCCTGTCATAATATAGCAAAATGAAGCCCAACCCTTAACCCATTGGATATTTATTTCCTGCTCTGTTCCTGGAAGGAGGTTATAGAGTGGGGTATGATTTTTAAAGAGAGGAAAGGAGAGAGAAGAGATAAGAAAGGAGAAGAAAAGGGAAGGGACAGAAGGAAAGGAAACTGCAGCAAAGGGAAGGAAAAAAAAAAACAAGGAAACAAGAAAAATTAAAAGAAACCAAAGGCACAGAGTTCTCAGTGTAACTGGGGGTAGGGGCTGGGAGGCGTCTAAAACAGTATATTGAAGCTCTGCTCTCACACTTCGCAAGGCCTGCTGGACATCGTTCTGTGTGAGTACTATCAGTATCTCACAGTGAAAGTTTCTGAACCAGAAAGCATCACTTCCCTGCCAAATCTGATCCCTAGTGGTTAATGCTACGAACAACTCTCCAAATTGAAAGTATAGCTATCTAGCTTTCCTCCTCCCTCGCTCTCCATACCAAATAGTCACCACTTCCATTTTAGTGTTACTGGCCTATCCCTCCCTTTGCAGCCCAGAACTTATCTGGGTCCTCGTCATCTCCGCCTGGACAAAGCTAGAGAGTCATTGATAGCCAGCGTAGTGTGATTTAACTAAGAGGTACTAGAGTCCATCCCACCCCTTGCTCATGCCCATGACATCTCCCCCACTCAGATTGTACAGGGCTTGAAATTTCCTCAAAGTGCTTTTTTTCTAATTGGATTGGAATCGACCTATCCTAAAATTTAAAACCATTAATATTTCTCTTTGCAGTACCTCTTTCTGCCTCTTAAACTTTCATAAGACTCTGTGTTAGACAGTCTCTTCTTCCCTAAAGAGCAGCTTAACACATTGCTTACTTAGAAGGCTAGACATCAATGGGATGAAAGGAAACGGGCAACAAAAACTAAACTCACTCAGCCCTGGCCACGTGGCTCTGTGGGTTGAAGCATCGTTCCATGCTTCAAGGGGCTGCTGGCTCTGTTCCTGGTCAGGGCACATACCTAGGTTGCAGGTTCAGTTCCTGGTCGGGGCATGTGCGCGCAAAGGCAATTGATCGATGTTGATGTTTCTCCCGTCCCCTACTTCCTCTCTCTAAAATCCATGGAAATATGTCCTTGGGCATGGATTTTAAAAAACCTAATTTCACCCATTTCACAGTTTTGCTTATGGCCCTATGTGTCTAACTGTTTGGAATATGAGACGATGGAAGGCGGTGGCTGTTGGCCCGTGGTTGTTGGATTTCTGGAGGCCCCGGATAACATGTTGCAGGATCTGTATGTTTCAGGTGTATAACCCAACATGCAGAGATATGAGGGAAAGAAGGAAGTAGTTTTCTCTTAGGAACTAGAAGCATGACCACTCAGGGCTGGAAAAGTGACCAAAGACAACATGACGTTGGTTCCATTCACGAGGCTGAACAAATGGGGCGCGCCAACTTAGGTTCCTCTGAACATCATCGAGCATTCTCCTCTGAAGACTGAAGATGTGGACAGTGCTGAGAAGCTGGTGCTCAGTGATTGCCACAGTGGGAAACACCCGTACAGTCAAGTGCTACAGTGTTTGATCATTTCTGATGGAATTAAATCTGTGGCTCACTTTCCATGACCATCCATGTCACTGGCAATCCTCGTATCACCTCCCCTTGTAATTCTTCCATCTGGTTGACCTATTATTATACCAATTTCACCATCCTTATCCTGAACCAAAGGACTACACAAACGGCATATAACTGTCCTTCTGACAACAGATGTATAGACTTTGAGAAGCCACTTGGTGTCTCCTATGGTCTCACTCACTCTAATCTGTCCTCCTAGTAGATCCAGAGTCCTAGCCCAAATTTTTCCTAATCATATTGAAACATCAGATGGAATCAACCAAAGCTACTCCGAGGAGACCTAACACACCTCCTACAGAGCGCCAGATCAGGCATTCTCCAACCTGGATGCTCAGGACAAAAAGAGAGACGAGAAAGTTCAGAGTAAACCTGCAGTTGTCCCTGGGATGGGCTTTGGTCCTGTGGCTTAGAGGCTTTCTGGAGGCCCTGGATCCATTTGCAAAGATTAAATGTGGGCTGGGAAGTTCAGCATTATCAATAAAATATCCCATTATTACTTAGCATTAATAATGAGAGCCTTGCACTTGTGCCTGAGGAGAGGCCACAGAGTCAAGTGGCTGCCACACATTCCTTTAAGTGTGTTTGAGAGCCAAGCCCCTCCCACTCTTCATTGATACTTATACTACATTCAACATATTGAGCTAGCTAGAGAGGTATTTCTAACAGAGGCAAATTTGTTCTATGTATTCACTCATACACTCAACAAATTTTTTTAGCTGTATATCAAGAATGATTTTAGGTGCTGAGGGTAGATTTTAAATAACAATCCATATGGTCATGATGCTTATATTCTAGTAGAAGAAAGACAATTAAAAAAAGAAAAGAAAAAATTAAAAGGTCATATTATTATCTGAAGACAATGAAATAAATCACTGCAATGAACTCAGAATGAAGGGGACACCACTTTAGTTTGGGAAATCAGAGAGGCTTCCCTGGAAAGGGACATTTGAAATGACACATGGATTACCCTAAGGAGCTGGGAATGTAAAGATGCGGGGGAAGAGGATGCCAGGTAGGGGCAACAGCACATACAAAATCCTCAAGGCAGGAACATACTTGGTAAGTTCAAGGAAGAAACAGGATGCTAGCATAGCCAGGTGCAACAGGAAGGCTTGCAATGGTTTTAAGCAGAAAAGAAACATGATATGATTTTCTTGTTGAAAAGATGACCCTAGCCACTATGTGAAGAAT